CCGAAGAAAGGGAGGGGCTTTACCTCGGTCTCGTTAAATGTTTAAACCGCATGGTTTTACACTCACCAAAGGTCTCAGAATTCAAGCCGTAAGAATGTCCCATGCTTTACTGAGGCGACTTTTTATCTGTCTCCGTGGTAGAGCTGACTGTTTGGTGGATGCTATCGGTGATCGTAGTGTGATGGTCGACGTTGTCGCTCGGCTTACTGCTGTCTGGTTTCCGATGGCTGGCTGACTAAGAGGGTTCCTAGTTCCAAGTGGAACGGCGTTCGCACTGTTCTTGAAGGGTTGACCTCTGTTCCAGCTTCGTGTCGGGATGGCGTTGTCACGTCTGGAGTTGGTGGGTTGATACATCCATGGTTACTAGTATACATGGCTGTAGCCATCCTTAGAAAATAAGATTTACACGGCAATCCATACACTTTTTCTTGTATTTTTCATGTTCACACCACATCAATCGAGAATGAGACTTGGCGAAGCTGAATATTTTGCGTTCATACCAGGCTAAACCCTGCTAAAGATATGTAAAGCTTGGAATGAATGGGGTCTAAGTGTTTCTTGGTGTTCAAAGTTAAACTTTGTGTACCTGGCCCGTTGTGGTGAAAAAGAATACTAGTAGTTGAAAAAGCTCACCCGCGCGATCGTCTGTAGCGTGTTCTTTATGCATATATTAACGTGTTATTGTGCCGGCGCCATCTTGGATCTAAGCTGTGTGCACTCGGCAATAAAAAAAACAACAACAAGAATTTAACTAATAAAACTAGATGGGAGACTTTGACCTTGTCACGTTTACAAACTATTCATTTTCGGTTTCTGTGGGTAATTACGTAGACAACCTTGTTTTATCGAATATTAACCTACTATAGTGTAAAAAAATTATTTTGACTCTTTTGACCAAGCTTTCAAACTCGTTGATTGATTTGAAATAACATTTGTCTGGATGTTTTGGAATGGTAAATAATTCGAAGCTGATAATTGTATGAACTAGACTGTTAGACATTATAGTCACACATGCACACAAGTTATTCATCTTGGTATCCTCTTTATTGATGTTCTTATTGTAATATATGTACATGTGCATCCAGATCGGCACCAAAATTGTCTACAGTCGCCACTGTGAACAAAGGCAATATGGCGTACCCAAGCGGAACCTCCTGTATTGTATTGTTACACAAATTTTGGTTGGTTACAAAAACCTTGAAGTTCCTGTTTTTACACCACAAAAAAGTAAACAGGAGTACAAAGAACATTTCATTACGTGGGTTTGAAGGCACATACGTATATACATTTACAGGTAAAATAACTCCCTTCATAAACAGTTATAGCAAACTACTGGTATGTACATTGTCCGGTCATAAAACATAAGACGCCATGTGGCAAATGAATACCAGTAATACTTCACACTGCAGAGCACAATCATTTTGCAGCACACAACTATTTACAAATCATACTACTAGTATATCTACAATATACTGGCATGGCAGAGTGGAACGATCACAGACACTCTTTCTTTCATTCTCTCAAACTGTACAGCCGTTGTGCTGACCACACACCTGCCCGCTATACGTTCCACGGGTATGAACGACGCGGGACACTCAGGTTCAAAACCCAATCCCCAAACCTGGACCGGACTTTCACGACCATAGAAACACCTTTCGGGGTGGTACTCGTACCAAGTTACCCTGGCCACAGCGTGCGAACATCTTCGCCCATTTTCCAACACAATGTGGACCAGGATAGCCTCCCTCAAGACAGCAGGGCGTTCTTCTGCGTGCGGATCTATAGTCGGTTCGTCTGATCCAAGATTGTAGCGACACCATTTTGCAAGCACACATGCAGACCTTTCTGATCTACATGCATTTACAGCCAGGGTCACGTCATTACATGTCACTTTAGTACAAGACATAGCGAACAATTCTATCTGTCTAACGTTTACCACTGGATAAGCTGCTTTGTACATACTGAATAGCATATTGCGAACAGATTCACTGATCACTATGCTACGGAATGGAGACAGTGGCTCAACAGTTACATTTGTAGAGTTGTCGAGAAGTACCAAGTCTGATAGGAAGGCATTGTTCTGTCCAACCGATGACGCACAAGGTGTCTTTTTGTTACCCAGAACACGATTGAACATCTCCCCATACCCTCCGGGCCAGGTAAGCACATTGAGTTGGTTACTCTGCTGGAACTTTCGCATGATTTGGACTTCAATGTTTCTGTTGTTGTGTCGATATTTGCCTAGCATACCATTGTACCTCTCAAACGAAAAACACCAAAAGGAATACACAGGCCCATAGTCTTCTATACATTCTTTCAAGTGCATGTGCAAATGCATATTTGGTGTACAGTGCTGAGGACCACACAATGTCGCAAACATAGTCAGAAATCTTTGCAGGTGATTATCTGCCTTACACAAGTCGTCGTGTGAGATAACACGGGAACAGAGTAGACGACAGGCTTGGACAAACTCACACCACATGTTATAATGTCGGCTGTCTATCAGGCCTTTCAAGCAGAACAAAGAATACACACATGTCCAGTTTTTCCACTGGTCTGCAGTAAAACCACTGAATCCTGAGGCGATTTTACGCGGGATTCTTCCTACATCATGTGGAACCTTCATGCTATCTATCCTGCTTTGGATCACATCGAAATCCTTCTTGTTAACGATACCTAATTCTGTCCACACCTTCAGTACGTGTTTTGACGTGCCCAGTAAAAGATTGTGCATTGGATCTATGACTGCAAATCTAACAGCGTCATAATACGGAAGTCTGAACAGTTCTGACCATCTAGCCCCATACTAGTCTTCCAGTCTCTTCTTGGCCGCCTTTGTCTTTGCCCTCCTGGCCATCTTTGCGTAGTGGATGTGGTCAGAAGACACGCGGGGGGTCCAAGCCGTTCGATCCGCACCAGAGTAGTCTGCCTTCGTCCCAAACCGCTCTCTCGTAAATGTCTTCAGACACTTACTGCATCCTGTGGAAGTACGTGAATCAAGTTCAGCATGTATATGTGATAAAATGGTCAGACTAAATCAACATAGAGTAACACATTGACACTGTTATAGAAAGTTATGACCCGAACCATGCAATGCCTTCAATATTTGGAAGTTTGGTATTTGTATTCAGGCAAAGGCTACCAAAATACAGCAAAACAAAATCTCACCTCTCAACGCTACATGTCCAACGAAGCCTCCACACTTGCGGATGGCCGGAATGTCAGAGGAAAGGCAGACAAGGGCCGCTCGGTAGATATGGGCTCCGCAGCTGGAGTTGTCTCTGAGAAGAACACCGTTCCATAGGTCCTGTAGCTCTTCTACCAACGGTTCTAAGAATGTATTAATGTCTAACTTGGGTTCTTTTGGCCCAGGGATCAACCCGACAATGATCAGATTCTCCTCCTTAAACCGCTCCTCACGGGGCAGGTTCAGGATCACAAGATATAACACTCCTACTGAGTACTCAGAATGCTTGTAGGGCTGGTACCAGTCACAATTAAGCATAAGTGCCAAATCTATTGGTTCAGATAAGAAGGGATTACCACTGATGTTGTCGTGTTGGAAGTCTTTCCAAACCTGACCATCGTACACATCTGTCATGTTGCCAGTGTCATTCCTAGTTCTCCATTCATTACACTTCTCGTTAAAGCCAGGCCTTTCAACAAGTGTTTGAAGAGATTCAGTCACACTCTTATAGCAATATGTACTCTTTGGGTACAGATATTCTTTACCACCAGCAGATTTCGTTTTGGTCATCAGAAGAGTACCACACTTCTTACGTAGGGAGGACCTTTTATGAGGATGGCTGTAGAAGGGCACAAACTCACACTTATTTGACACCTTGGTACCGTTAGCCTTAGTGCGATATGACTCTTCCATTGTGTACCTAGTTCGGCATTTAGGGCAGACAACAAATCTCATGAAATTGTCTCTGTCTACTCCTACACACTTACGCAGAGAGTACAGTGTAGCTGGGATCATATCAAACAGTGTAACAATTGTATCTCCACCATATGCATTTCCGATCACACGGATGAAAAGCTTCAAGCACAACAACAAACAATGAACAGCATTATCGGAAATATTGAACATCGCCTGCCACACTAACAAAAGCATGGACAACAGTTTCAAAAACACATTTCCATTGAGAGTTTCGTCGGCTTCTTTGTCATCGCTGCTGCGGGGGACGCATTCTTCTTCCAGTAGCGTTTCATCAGTCCATATCTCAGCGTCGTCACTGAGGTCTTCATGTGTGTCTTCCTACAATGAACAGACTAGGTTTAGTTTTGGGAACTTCTGTGAGTCATAATCGGCCTTTAGGGCTGTAGTTTAGGACAAGAAAACCGGTTCTACATCCGTTTGATATTAACCGCTAATTCTGCGAAAGATGGGGACAGACAATTTCTAATCCACGCCATCCATTGTTACCGATATAAATCGGCGTGCATTACCAGTCAAGTTTTCACTGGCACCGCAGTTAACAGATAATCAATTATTTTCGAAGCGCCCTTTCTGTACACGCAGTTTTATACTATTAAAAATGATTATTTCGAGAAATACTACATACCTCATTGCTGTCCACGTTGTCTTCGTCACTTGAAGCGGAGTCGGAGTCTGTCTCGCTGAGAATGAGATGCAAGTCTTCTTCTTCAAGCCACCCATCTGTCTCATCTCCCTCCACAGCTTCATACTCTGTTTGAAAAATAAAATATACTTGTCATTATGTTGTATCATTTCGACATGACAGAGAACCATATGGCAAGCATTTGAGTAATTTTGATCCGAAATTGATCCGTGTTTTGGGAACCGTGGTTATTTCGTTGAATGCTTTTAGTTTACGAGT